AAAAAAAAAAAAAAAAAGTTGTTATGAAGTACCATATTCATACAAATACAGTAGAAACTCTGTTAAGTTGACCACCCAAGGGACTGTAACAAACTGGTCGACATATGCAAGTGGCCACCATAAGGAACTAGGCCTACTGTATTGATACACATGTGGTGCATGTCTGGTCTATGAAAATTAGGTCAACTTAAGAAGGTAGTCACTATAGGGAGGTAGTTAACTATCAAGGTTTTACTGTAGTTGAACTGGGTCTTTAGGCCTAGTTATATCCCACAGTACAAGAAGAACTTAGAGATATGGTCATAGCATACTTTAGCCCTCGGAGATGAGAGAGCTCCCATAACATCAAAAGCTGCCCTGTTAGTTTGGTGAGTTTTAAATTTAGATTAAAACTGTAGTTCCAAATAATAGTCACCATTAATTCTCAGAAATATTCCATAGTAAATGTTTGAATAGTTGGTTGTTGATGACCTAGAAAAGAAATTTTTGATCATCTGGAATCAGCAGGGGTTCTTGAAGTAGATCCTCCACTTTCTTTATCGATACAAGTATAGGGTTTTAGAACACTATTGCATTAAATCAGGAACTAATTGGCAGTAATGCAGGATGTTGTTTGATTTTAGCAGAGTGATAATCTCTGTAAGTAGAAGGTAAATATAAGCTTTGTAAGTATAAAATATTTTAAGAACATTCTCAGACATGTGTTAAGTTTCAAAATATGTAATTCTGAACTTTATATAAATGTAGTAATTCAGCTTTGGAGACATGGAGTAGAGACTATTCTGAATATTTATTTCTCTTCATTTCCCAGTTATGATTAATGGAAAATATTGCTGTCCAAAGATATACTTCAACCACCGTTGCTTCTCAGGGCCATATCTTAATAAAGGAAGAATTGCTGAGCTTCCTCAATGTGTAGGACCTGGGAACTGTGTTCTGGTCCTTAGAGAGGTAAGATTCTGACCTAGAGCAAAAGAGCTTGGAAATTTCACAGCATTGTTCTAGGCTCATTTTTATAGAGAGATGCATTCCATAGATGTGACAACTCTAGATTTTATCAAAAGTTAATAACTTTTCTCATGTATTAGTGAACAGGGTATATAATTATTTCTACATTCATCTAAGCAGTTCTTCGCATAGTAAATTCACCCAATCAGTGTAGAAAGGTCACCTACCAGCCAGAGACCTGTGAGATTAGTCTGTAACTGAGAGGCATTAACTTAGGGTCTGTGACAGAGCTTTACAAGCACAAGTGTTGTATTGCAGGTAACAGATATGAGGACATGTTGAACATTTTAGCCCTAAGGGTGGTAAGGCAGGGTTTGGGAAAGCTTTTGGGCCAGACTTCTGTAGCCATGAGGAGGCTTAAGTGTCCAAACAAAATTTTCAGTGTATCATGCCTGGGAAAGCATTCAGAAGTACATGCTACAATAATTTGAAATTTGTGGTGCCTTTTTTTTTTCTGACCATAACATTTTGAATGTTTAAAAAGCTGATAACTTTGGGCAGCTGTCATATCTTCAGTATTATTGGTTAATGTTTACTAATAATATGACTAGAATCATTCTCCTAAGTGACCGTAACATTCTAGGGCAGTGGTTCTCAACCTTCCTAAGGCCGCAACCCTTTAATTACATACACCACAGGTTGAGAACCACTATTCTAGAGTAGTTAGCAAGAGTGGTTCTAATGGTCTGCTTTTCTCTTTCCCACCTATATTTTTGCTTTAAACCGAGCTCAGGTCCTCACTTTACTTATCAATGCAGCTTATAAACCCAGTCGTGTTCTTCGGGAGCTCCAGCTGGACAAAGATTCTGTGTGGCATGGATGTGGGGAAGTCCTAAAAGCCAAGTGAGTAGTCTGCTCTGCCCTTTTACTCTTGTCTTTAATAAGTCACAGAATCAGTTCTGTGATATCAGAATACTTATATTTCCTAGGGCAGCGCTTTTATAGCTACTTGTGATGAAGGACCAGGCTCATTTTCTTTTTCAGATTTCCATTCTATCATGGATGAATACATTTATAAAATATGATAAAAATGATTCATAAGAAATATGAAATTTAAAAGATATAAAGATGCAAGAATAATTTTATTATATTTAAGAGGCATAAAATTATTTTTTTAATTACTGTGAAAGTTTAACAACGTTTATTCTTGCTTTTTCACCTGATCTTATCATGGATGGATGACAGTTGGCAGGTTATACTGGTCCCTGAGCATCACTGCTCAGGATAAAGAAAGATTTAGTGAGAATCACTTTTCTTTTTATGCTATTTAGTGAAATTGCTATTTGAAAACTTTAACTTAAGAAAAGAAAATAAGAACTTTATTTTGCTACTTAAAATAACTTAGCTTTTAGTTATCATAGCTAACCAGATTTAATTTGGCTTAAGTACAATATGCAGAATTTCCTTATTGTTTTCAGAGTCCTCAAACTGTAAAGGAGATAGAATATTCCAAGAAACAAAAAAATTCTTCAGGCATATTAATATGTTTGACTTTTCTCTGGGTAATCATTAACCCAGAAATTTGGCATCTCTTGTCTTCTAATGGCAGATATAAAGGAAAGAGTTATCGGGCTACTGTTGAAATAGTGAAAACAGCAGATCGAGTGACTGAATTCTGCCGGCAAACCTGTATCAAACTGGAATGCTGCCCTAACCTCTTTGGTCCACGGATGGTTTTGGATAAATGTTCTGAGAACTGTTCTGTACTTACAAAGACCAAATACAGTGAGTCATGTTTTTCCAATGAGTTGATGGTAGCAACTGACCATACCTTACATGCTGGAAAGCTTTTTATTTTACAGACATTCATGGATAGCAGAGGTATGCAAAATTTTTCTTTAAAGGACCAGATAATAAATACAGGGTAGATACAAAGTTTCTGTGTATATTACCGTGTTAAACTATTTTAAATTGCACATGAACTTTATGTCCACCTTATATTTTATGCTGCAGGTCAGATGACCTCTCACAAATTCTTTTTTTATTTTTTTCTATCAATATTTTCACTTTTTAAGAACCCTTTTAGAATTGGCTCAGGGTCCCCAGTATGCAACTTTTATTACATATAGCATGTATGTAAATTACCTATTGCATCTAATAGGATATGTAACTCATTTATACAATCTTCAAGTACTTATTATGCACTCACTATGTGCTTCCAGTGTTCTAGCACTGGGATACAACAATAAAGACCAAAATTCCTATCCTTAGTGAGTTTACGTTTAAACCCACTAAGAGAGAAGTATTATGGGGAAAAATGAAGCAAGGTGAGCAAGCAAGGTAGGACAGTGAAGACACCGGCAGGTGGGGCTCGGCGCCTGTGGCTCAGGTGGCTAAAGTGCCAGCCACATACACCTAAGGTGGCAGGTTCGAATCCAGCCTGACCCGCCAAACAACAATGACCGCTGCAACCAAAAAATAGCCAGGCATTGTGGTGGGCGCCTGTGGTCCCAGCTACTTGGGAGGCTGAGGCAGGAGACTCGCTTGAGCCCGGGAGTTGTAGGTTGCTGTGAGCTGTGAAGCCATGGCACTCTACCCAGGGGGACAGCTTGAGGCTCTGTCTCAAAAAAAAAAAGAAAAAGAGACTGGCAGGTGAGTGTTCTTTGTGCGGATGGTCTGGAAGTTGAGTCCGGTAACCTAAAGGAAAGAAGATATGCTGATATCTTGGTGGGAATGCTCTGGGGAGGGGGCTGCAAGGGCACAGCCTTGAGGCAGGTGAAGAGTAACCAAGAAGCCAGTGGAAGTTGGGGAGATAGAAATAGCAGAAAAGGAGGTAGCTGCAACTTGACTCTAAACAGTCACAGCAACATCTGTTTCCTCATCTCCTTTGTGAAAGAAGGATGAAATTCCATATAGGATGAAATTTCCAATTTAGAACCTTGTCAGGGCATTGCCACTCAAAGATGAAATTCTAATCCTACTTTTCCTTAAATCCTACAAGGCCTGATATCACTTAGGGAGAATTAACATGGAGTAGGGTTTTACCTTGTTAAATTTGAAGGATTTCTTTTAGGGATCTGTGCCTCTTAAGTTTTATAGTTCTTGGAAATCACTTGAGAATCTTGTTAAAATGAAGGTTCTGATTCATCAGGTATGTGGGTATGTGGGGCCTGAGTGTCTGTCTGCATTTCCAACAAGCTCCCAGATCCACTGATGCCTATACTCCAAGGTCCATACTTAGCATGATGTACTTTATAATCATTATTTGAATTAAAAAATCATATAAGAGTCTAACCTTCTAGTTTCTATTTATATTTATTGGATTATAAACTCCTTAAGGGCAGGATTTATTGTCTTTGCTTTTTATTATATTAGACTCAGCATTTAGTTTAGGAAATTACAATTATTAGCAGCTAAGTGAAAGTATTTATGTAAGTACATATGTAAGAACACCACTTTGAATCTGTGGAAGGAAGGTGTATGGATTTTATTATGCTTTTGGTCTAAATTTATCTTTCACAGTGATGTAGTTGAAATTAGCCTAGAATTTAGGTGAGTCTATAATTTTTCCTAATTAGTAATTTGAGTGATGTCAAATAGATTTCCATCATTAAGAGAATTCATTTTTTGTAGAAAATTTGATTTTTATATTACTTTAATACATAACAGAGCTAGAAAATGTTTCATTTTTTCCTGTATTCTAAAATTTGTATGACAATACAAAAGATCTAGAATAGCCACAACAATCCAGATAAAGAGGAATAAAGTTGGAGGACTTTTTTTTTTTTTTT